CGTTCAATTGTATTAATTTGTGATTTTTCAAATTAATTCTACATTCTACGAACTGATGATGGAGCCGGACTCCGAAACGTTCTCTATAAAGGTATGAATTTTTGCGGAATTTTCATTGCTTTTAAATCTTTAAGATAAGCTATTGTTGACGAAAGATAAACAAGATAATCTATTATGCAAGACAAATAAGATAAAATAAAAGAATAGTTTACAAGCAAAAATAATAGAATTAGCCACGAGCGTTTGCTAGCGTTTTTCAGACAAAAAAAAGGTCACTGCAGTTATAAGTTAAGGAGCTTTGGGACGTTGCTTATTGATTATTTCAATAAACATGAATAGAGTACGTTAAAATAATGGTCGTACGGCGTTGAAAGAACGATCGTACAGAATGTTCGTATTTACTCTAACAAAATAAAAAATTCGATTGAAAATATGATATTTATTATTTTAAACAAATTTTTTATCTTCAGCACTTTGTTAAAGAAATTAATTTTAGAGTTTACGATTATTTTTATTACGAGCCAGCTTGTGAGAAACCTATTCATTTTCCTCCATTGTGTCATGACGTAATCCCCCTCCCCATCCTCCCTAGAAATCAACCCCCCCAAGTGTGGGAGCAAGGCAGGTTCGGTTACTCAATTACCCAGCGCTTTCATCTCCATCGCTGTGAATGATACTCAGCCGAGTGAGCACAATCGAATTACCTGCCACCGATATAGCTGAGGAAAAAAAAGTGTGCGAACATGACCAGAAAAGAAGTTGGCATTCAGCGAATCACTGGAAAAGTCTTCACGAAATGTCAATGAGACTTTTAGGGTATAAAGTTAGAAAAAAGTTGCTTAGGTTCCTTTTCTTGGCGGGTATTGTTCGTAGTGAAAAAATTGTACATTATACAAGTTAGGATTGGGGTTTTCCTAATTATAAATAAAATTTGAAGTACAGAGAAAGTACATAACGTACTTTCATTTATTTTGTTAGTTTCTTAAGCTGGTACGTTCTTAACCGGTGAAAAAAAAAAACAAGTCTGCTTGGATTATATACTCGATGTGACAAGCGGAACTGGGGTTGCGAAAAATTTCATCTCCTATGCATTCTCTGAAACTAATTATGATGGAAAACTTGACTCAAATTCATCAACAGATCATCTTGCTTTGATTTGGGCACAATTACATTCCATTTTCATGCCACATATATGACAGTTATGGAGCAGATTTTCCCTTCACCTAAAGATATCTCATTAAATTTAATATTACGTACTCATACATGTTGCTATATATTTTGAAGTGTGTTCTACTTCATTATTAATCTTTAATTTGACTTACAACTTCTGCGAATTCGTATCTGTGGATTATGAAATTATTGTAAAATATGATGCGCGTTATTATTTATAACGCTTAGTCAATGATTAATATAATTAATTTACATGTGCTAGATTTTATTTTTATTATGAGAGGTTGCATTGATGTCCGTAGATGCATCACTGATAGCGTCTTCCAAGCTATAACATAAGCCATCGAATCTATATTCTAATGTAATTACGCATAAGCCATTCGAATGTAATTTGCGTATGCTATAGTAAGTATCTATTATTGTGCGCCATCGACTCAAACTTTAAGTCAACTATCAAGCAAAAATTGTGATAATTAAAAGTTCCTTAAGGTATTAACGTTTTCTGTATATACCTCGCACCTTAACCCCCTAATTAAGGTGCCCATGGGCATTCCCTTAGAAAATTTAATGGTTGCCTTTGTCCAAATAGTGGCATACTTGCCATGTGTAGCATTGATACGTCCTCTTATGAGCAAAATTGGGTCAATGTGACCCACACAAAGGAGAAAGTGCATCGATATTCGGACAATGTCTCATAAATTTCTCTGAGTGTACCTGAGATCCAGATGGCATTCATAGCGCTCTCTGAATAGCTGGGCGCACTATGCAGAAGCTGAATAATAAAAAAGAAAGAATTCATCCAAAAATACCAGCCGTTTCATTGAAATAGCAAACGCAGGCGTTTTTGCTCTCACGGAATTTCGAAACTTTATTGCTTTCAGGACACAGAAATTCCTAGGGTATTGAGTGAAGTACTAGAAACTCCACGGTAATGCTATCACACTATTTAACTTACAAAGTTTTTAATGTTCTACTATTGACCTTAATGAATATTGACTACAGTTGACTTATTACTATATGAAGTTAAAAAAATGTTCCTTAAAATGAAGGTAGACGGATAAAATTCCATGCCCCTTATATGATCAAACTTACAAGATTCACATTTTGTCTGTGGCAGAAATCGTCTTAATCTACAAAAATTATATTTATTACTCGAACAAAAAAAATTCAATCGTAGTTCTGCCTTCACCGTAACTATGGTGGTCGAAAGCGTAAAAAAATCACGTCTTGATTGCTTATAGCTTTTAAACATAAAATTTTCGCCATTGATATATCATGAAGAAATAAGAAATAAATTTAAAAGATATATAATGTAAATAAAAAACAATTTATTCAAATGCAATAATTAATGTTGACAGTTTCCTCGCGAAGAACCAATTCATCGCAATGCTGATTGCCGATGTTCTGAAATGCTTGCGGTGGTTCAGGCCGTAGATAGCAATTCTCACAGTTCGCTTGGGTTGCTCACTACAACTCCCTGGCGCCTCGCAGTTCAATTTCCTCACGAGCCTACCAAGTTTGCTGCGTCGAAAGTGGCCTCTAAATGGGCCAGGATATTCACGCCCTGAGACGAGCAGGATTTTCGATTTCGTGTCAGGATTTCCCAAGGATTTCAGTGCGGTGGAGTTGAGATATTAACCTAACTATGTTCGATAATAGTGATGGAATAATTGTTGTTTATTATTACGATCAGTCAACGTTAATAGTGATGGAATAATTATTGCTTCTTAAAATACTATCAGTCAACGATCAAAGTGCTTGAAAAATTACGACTTCTTAAAACAAACAGTCAACGATAATAGGAGAGCAACAATTATGAGTTATCATAACGATCATTGTAGCTTCATCGCCCAAAACAAACATGCGATACAGAACAATGCTTTATCACTCATAAAAACCAGTTGGTCAAGGTGCCTGTAAAGGACTTCTACTGAAATCTTATCATTTAACAGCATTTTTTCTCTGACGAATTCTATTGTTCATGTTTTCATGAAACAAAATTCCAGCTGTCAGATCTGGAAGATAATACGAAACTCGTTAGCGCGGAACGGAAAAAATTTTATCGAATGTTACGCTTGGCTGTCAACGAGAACCATGTACAATTTACGTCCTCGAACTGATTGTATATTCGCTCTTCAAACGGCAGTTAAAATAAATTATTCGTTTGCTAGACGCACAGAATTCTATAGCTGAGAAGTCATGAACACAATTAAGTTGCTGTATGTACTATGTACATAAAATAAGACTGGCATGTCGATTAATCGATGACAGAATTAAATAGTTTGAATGTCGATGTTGAGAGTATATTTTTTAGTTGAATTCAACTTAATTTCAAATTGTGATTAATTTGGATGATGACGTTGTACACCATTTTCATACAAATTGTATGAAACATATTATCAATCTAACACGTTTTAGTATTTAAAAAAAATTCAATTGCGAAGAGAAAATTGATCAGAGTCAAAAATTTTAAGGCTAGAACTTGAGGATCTCACTCTGCGCTATAATTTCAAAAATTACTCTCATTCTGCTCCATAATTTCCTAAATTACTCTCACTCTGACCTATAATCAAAATTTAAAGTAAATATTGTGGTTTACCCGACCACGTACCAGTCAAATAATTGAAATACTCGTCGAAAATATTAGCTCCTTTCAATGAATGTAGAGTGCAATTTGTTGACATAGTAATTTCAATATTTAGATTAGTTTTTGAACTTACCTCTCTTGCGTAATGAGTTTAAAAAAACTCTTCAATGATGAGAAATTTTTCAATTGTTTATGATTGTTTTCAAGACCATCCTTTGGAGAGCGATGGTTTTTAGTGGTGGTCCTTTAGCTTTGGTGTCATAATTGGATTTACTGTGAAAGGCCACGTAGTGAGGAGTATCATTGAAATTCTTTCATTGTTAGAATCGAATAGGAAAAGCCTGTTGCCCAACATTGTGTTCAATAATCCTGTAAAGATTATCTTCATTAGAGTTACTGCGAAACAATAAAGTTTTATTTTCAATTAAAATACAATTGACAATTTTTGAAGTAAGAGACTTGATGCTTTCTCCTAAATCAAAGTAGAAAACGGAACTCCAATAGCCATATTTAATGATATTAATTTTTTTGACGAAAACGTGTTCCTCCAATATTATATTCAAGGGATATGTATATAATTATATTTATATTACATACATATAATGTTACAGTATATTTCAAAGTTAGTCAAGCTATTCTGAGCTTACAGCATTTAAAATAAATTATTTTTGAAGAGTAACAAATTTTCCGCAAAATAATTTATGGGAAATCTACTTTCCGGACAATTACAAAAAATTGAAAATTCTTCCGTAGTTGTTTTTTCCGGTGATTTATTTTTTTCCGAAAAACTCAAATTAGAATGAAATCTGAATTTAACGAGTCGTGATAATTTTACGTGAATTCAACGTTTGATAATATTTGCTTAATCATGTATTTTCTGAATGTTCTAAATATTATTACGAAATTTGAACTTTGAAATTATTAAAATTACTCGCTAAAGTGCCATATTGCCATACGTTGTGCTGATATGTTCCACTGAAAGAAATTAGACATAGACAATTAACCCTACAGTCTTCGCTTGGGTTACATATGTAATCCACAAAGGATTCCATAGGATTAGCATAGGATTTAACCCTCCACAGCAGGGTTAAAAGTAACGATCTCAAATTAATTTACCATGGAAGGATCTTCCATAGTAAATTAATGAAATAAAATTTGTGCATGTAGAAGTCAAATAAAAATTGTGCATGTAGAAATCAATTAAAAATTGTGCTTGAAGAGTATGAAATGAACGAAAACTCACCTTGAACAGACGAACCTCGTTGGATGGCGAACTGCATAAACCAGAAGACTGCAATGATTGCAGTTTGGCGAGCACTCTTTCTAGAACAATTTTCTAGGAAGTTCATTTTGAATTAAAGTTAATTGATTGTTTTATCCTCACAATATCACATCCTTTGTCTTTCCTTTAATTTTAAAGTTTGTACTTTTTCAAATAGATTAAAAATATATACTTTTTTCACGGGAAGAAAAAATCGGATGCACTCATACGCTCCAAAATAAAAGTTCAGTGCTTTCAAAATTTTTTCAGCTTGAAGCTGAAGAATTTTTCTGTTTTAAGTTTCATGCATTTACTTGTAGTCATCAATTATTTTATAGTTTTTCAAAAATGAGTCGGTAGCCTAACAATCCTTTTTTGAAACTGAAAATATTATGCAAAATTTAAAACTCACTTGATTTTCCAAGACCTATTCATCTTACTTTTTACTTGCGTAGAAATTATTGAACAGCTGCAAGAAAAGAAGGGAAATTAATGTTCCATTCTTGTACGAACAAATATTCATGGCATATTCTTTTCGTTTCACGGTAAAATCAACTTTTTCATCACTGCGTAAATAACTCATCACTATTAAAATGGCTTCCAATCAACCTTTCTATTGTGCAATAGAAAAGTGCAGCATACATATATACCTAGAAACCCCCAAATAAATACGATTTTTGTATAATAGTTTTCCTAAAGAAAATTTCTTTGATGAATATTACAAAATTCCAGCTCGATTTTTAATTTATTTAACAATAATTTTCAACTTTGTATATAGTGAGAGCTGCGTCTGCGAGCATCTAGCCTTCAATGACTGACAACCCGGGATTGCGTTTGGATGAGGAAACTCATTCCCTGGGCCTTACGCTCCTGATTAATGAAGTAAAGAGATCGGTCCTTCTGACATTAGTGTATCTAATGTAATGTCAATGTTGTTTTTATGTATTGTTAATGTAATGTTGATAAAGTTTTAATGTTTTGTTAATGTGATCTGAATATATTGTTAATGTAATTTTAATATTATGTTAATATTATGTTGACGTAATGTTAATGTAGAGTAAAAATAATGTTAAAAAATTCTTTTGGTTTTTATAAAGCCGTACCACCTTCGAGGCGATAGGAAACATCGCCTTTTCTTTAATAAAATCTTGGGACACGATCCATTTCGGGACTCAGGAACAACCGTGAGTTTTGTGGGAGAGGAGGTGTTTGTCGACCATGATGAATCACACCCCGTTGAAAAACGGTGCTTTAATGGAAGAATACTAGGAGAAATATGTATTAAACAAATCTCTGTATTGATATTTGTGAATTAAATAGAAAGGTGTGCATAATAACTCCAAAAATTACAATAAATCCAAAAAATTATAATAACTTTAAAATAATTATAGGATTGCACCCATTCATATAAGTCAGGCTTTTCTTGCTCATGAATTCAAAATCCTGTAATTTTTCACGCTCCAAATGAAATAATATGCCGATAAGAACCGCGGCGTTTCTTGCTTTGTGGATAAGTAATAAATTATTTTTCAATCTTTTGAATAAATGATTGAATTTACTCAAAGAAACTGAGCATAATAAGAATGTAAATTGATTGATAAATTGATTTTCAGTAGCTTGCTCTTCGTTTTTGGGCCGAAGCTGCACTCATCTAAAAATCTTCAATCACGGTTTCAGATAATCAATTTATATTTAGACGGTCACCAGAACAACGAAAACAAAGAACATGTATGTTTTTTCACTAAAAGAAACTAATTTTATTCAAATCTGTATATTTTCAATAATCTATGCAATTACTTTAGTTTTTATGGATACAGAAAATCCCGACAATATAAGTTTATCTACCAACCACAATAAAGTCTTCAACTTGAATCCCTGCGTCGCTGATGGGAAAATCAATGCCCAGTTTTGTATAGAATCATGGATAAGAATAACAACAAATTTAGAACCTACAGACACCGGTCCAGGACAATACAAGTATTTTTGAGTGCTGGGACTCAGGTGACGACGCATTTTGTGACGGCCATTGTAGGTGACTTGTGTTGGCAGTGAGCGTCACCATCGTTTGTAGTTCATTTGCCGCCTGAGACACTGCGACGCCTCCGCTGCAAGACAAAAGAAAAGTGATGCAGGGGGGAAACGTACACTCAGAAAAAGAATTAGGTCATAATGTCCAAATTATGACATTTTCTTACAAACAGCAGAGCGTACGTATAGCACTGATACGCCCATTTGACAGGCCAAACTGGGCTAAATGACTTAAACGAGTACTAAAAGTGCATCGTTATATGGATAAATTTTCGCTCATTTCTACTAAGCGTAAATGTATGGGATTAAATGGTATTTACTCGTTCAAATGATTAGACTTTAACTGAATACGGTTTATTCGTTTTTTCACTACCGAGGAGAAAATATAACATAAATAAAATAATAAATGAATAATTAAACGGTAAAATCCGCATTTTACTCCGTCGAACGGGTGCATCAGAGTTACTGTGCTGGATTTCTACTAATTTTTTAAATGTTTATTCCTGGTATAGGTTTCGAGCAAAGAAATTGCAATCCCCTGCCTGGATATCACCTTTGAATTAATGTGTAGTAGACCCATTACATTTTTTAAACGTTTAATTTTAGCGTTAATGGATGAAATTTTCGTCTTAAACTATTCGTTATTATAAAGCACATTATTATTATATAATTATATCATTATTCACATAATTACCCTCCGCAGGCAATGCACAGAGCGCAATGTGCTTCATAATTAAATCACGATCAGTCTGAGAGAATTTTTAAAAGTAAAATAATTTCTTACTCCGAAATAGATAGGCCTAAAAAGTTCTTCCTAAGTGTGTGTGCCATTATTAATTTGTGATAATATTTTGTTGCGAATTTCCTGATAATTGAATTGCTCGCGATTTTTCTCGCATTCGAATGTTTTGTACCTCAAAATTTTAACAATTGGAAACAAGTAACTACGGAAAATACATTGTGTGCTCCCTAAAGTTTTCAACTTTTCATGCCAGAAAAGACATTGTTATTGAGGCCCGCAATTTGGAAACGCAAATATTCATTAATTGATTTTCATGCTCGATGCGTATAGGCAAAAAATCGACGTATTTTCACATCGGCTTCATCTTACCTTTTATTAACGAATTCTTTTTTATAAAATTTGACGGTTTAGGAATGATGATTCACAGTGAGTCGTATATACAAAATAAAATAAGAGAAAGCCTGTATTTTATTCTGTATTTATACAGAATAAAATTAGAGTTAAATTGACCTGTTAAGATTTATGTGAAAAGTTAGGTTACAGGACCGCCCCAATTTAATGTTGTCTTATTAATCAGAATTGTTCAATATTTTGTAATTATAATAATTGGTATTCAACATGAAGCAAAAAACTCAAGTTTATAACAAAAAACTTCTCTTCATTATTTAATGTAGATAGGCTCTTGCTTTACAGGAATAACAGCGTCAGATTGTTACTAATGTCGACCCTGAGTGGCAGTACGGACATGAATGTACAAAAGAACCTCTAAGTTACTTATAGAGCGTCGAGATAAGTCCCGACTCTCCTTCTCCAGGCCTGCAATTACTTAGAACCCTTGAAAGTAATCGTCTAGATAAAGTCCAAGGTAAAAAAAATCAGGCCAGCCCCACTGAATTTTTGCTAACCAGGGCCATTGATATTACGGCTCACACATTCATTTACAGGCGCTTGTATCGCCCGACAAAAGAGCGCGATAAGCTCGCCCCGCTCGACTGCTCGTCTCTTCAGTGAACCTTGCAAGAGGATACCAGTGGGGCCATACTTTCAAAACTCGCTAAGTGAACGTAAGTACTTACGCTCTATTTTCTTGTCTATGATTGGTGGATTTTGCTTGAAAGGCCGTCAATGATTGGCGGATGAACTTACGATCTCTTAACTTTTTTTTAAAGTACTGTATAGGCCCAGACACTTGACGAGGTTACAATCTTGCTCTTCCTCTACCAAAACGAATATATTTTTGACTTTTGGAAAATAAATGGATCTTGTACTAAGGAAAATATTAAGCACATTTTGGAAATATGATTGATACAAAATTTATGTATTATTGGAATAAATCAATAAACAAATGGCCGTCATATCGGTAAATGTTTTGGAATGATAATGCACGGAATTGCAAGCGTTCGCTCTAGATAACATACCAATCAGAATGTTTATAACAGAGTAAAGTTCAATATGTAATAACATTACCAATATGCAAAGAGGGAGATGCATGAACTTGTCAGCTGTACATATTCATGGGAGATTTCTTCAGAGCATCATTACCTGATAAAACTTCCATTATAGCACCAGACGTACGTACGAAGTGGCATGAACCAGTGAGTGAAGATTCATACTGAAATAAATATCAGAGACGAACCTGGCGCAAATTTTGGCTGGTACATCTCGTTTTAAACTTAATAGATCCGACCAGGATAAAGCGGTCGTCTATCAATAATTCAGAGCTATACGGCAGGACTGATTTTGATGTAGACGGCCAAGAATATCAGAGAGTATTCGAGATCGGCAAATACTCCTTTGGAAATATTTTATATTCTTTTTGAGTGCAACAGTGCGTTCACCACATAACGAATTTCCAAGCTTTTGCTAGGTGCCAGGCGCTAGGCGAGATGCAGCATGGAGGTGTTCGGTAACGGCTGAGAGGTCGTCAGGTTCCAGTTCGTGATAGCGCTTGTGTGGATTAAGTATCGCCTGACCCAGACATGCGATATCGTCTCTAAATCGGACATTCCAGCTCTGTAGCCCTTCTCAACGCCGGCCCTACGCCGGCTGGTATATTTTACAAGACTAAATTTGAACAGGTATTGGGCTGCTAGTACTTAGTATAGCACTCGACCAGAGCTATAGTGGGCTTTGGCAATTACGTAAGATCGTGGCAAATTGTATATGGCAGCGGCAAGTGTAACACGCAGCGGAAGCCTCGAGTATGCGCACAATTATTAAAATGTCAACGCGTAACGCCTGATAAAGTCTAGGTCATTGCGTCGCTCCGGTCGTGGAAGTAGAGCTCTTCATCACTTCGTATTATTTGGTCGAGACTG